CTCAGTTCAAATTAAAAAGCCCAGGCAAGAATCCTTTTGGATTGTCTCATTTCCCTTCATCCCTTCTAATCCGTGAGAGAGTTCTGCTTGTCGACCCTGCTTTGGAACACAGCTTCACTTCTTCCTTTCTCTCCATCTGCATTCATCTGTGCCTAGTGCATTGACAGCTTTCTGTCTTATCTCCCAGCCTTGCCTTCAGTTCACCTAGATTTTTTTTCCTCCATACAACCTATTTTTAAAATGTAAGTCAAATCATATCATTCCTTCATTTAAAATCCTTCAATAGCTTCCTGTTGAAGGAGGTTTATGTAGTAAGGCCTCTCCTACCACCCTGACCTCATCCTGAACTGCCACAGCCCCCCGCCCCCCGCAACCATGTTCCTTCAGCGCCCCAGGCTTATTCCTGCTTAGGGTCTTTATTCTAGTTTGGCCCAGGAAACTCCTACCCAGGTCCTCAGAGTTACCATCCTGGGTTTCAACCTAAATTTATTACAGTTCCTCAGAGAAGCTCCCACAGACCATTGGTTCTGAAATAAAATAGCCATCTCATTCTTACCAGTCAGTCCCTCTCTCACGGTATCCTGTTTTCTTCACTGAACCTATTGTGAAATGAAACTGTATTAACTATTTTCTTGATTATCAGTCTTTGTAAAAATGTAGGTTAGAGATCTCATTTTTATCTTGTTCATTGTATCCTCATACCTATAATAGTCACATACATGTACTAGGGGTTTATTAAATATTTGTTGAATAAAATGTTTTCACATTGCTTCTACCATTTCAGGCATTCTCCTTTCCCTTGAGAATCAAATCCAAGTTCCTTTTATTGTTTCTCAATGTCTCTTCACTCTGGCCTCTGCTTACTCTAACTTACTGGTTCTCAGCCAGAGGCAAAACTGTACCCTTACCCTGCCCCAGAAAATGTGATGATGTCTGGGCACACTTTCAGCTGTCATAATGGGTGGTGCTGCTATTATCTAGTGGGTAGAGGTAAAAGATACTGCTAAACACTCTACACTGCATGGGACACTTGCCCACAGAGAATCGTATGGTCCAAAATGTCTCTGGTGCTGCTGTTAAGAGTCCAGCTGTGTCTGTACTAGCTGTCTATCCCACTTGGAGATCTAGATACAGGAGTCTGCATTCTTCTAGCCTCTGAGTCTTGCACTTGCTTACCCCACCTGAAAACTCCATTTGCACCCCTGGTCCCCACTGCTGACTCTGTTCTTTGCCTAGACAGAGTCTTGGGGCAATTAAAATTTAACTTTTACCACACAGAGTTAATCTGTTTTGGCAGTTTTCCCTTTATAAAGTTAATTTTAGCTTCTATCACAAAATGAAAGTAACTTCCAAGCACAAACATAATCCTCATCACCTGATGTCATGAGGGGTGGTGAGCAAAACTGTTGTTTTTGGACTACCGTATGGTTTACTTAATCCAATCACAGAGAATAAATGGGGTGAATTCAGAAAATGGTGTCCATGTAATCTATAGCCATAAAATTTCAGGTAGGATTTAGAATATTTGGATTCACGGATTTTTTTTCATGTATTGTACCACATTAAAATAATTTCCTTTTTAAAATAACTAATACAAGTGGCTTTTTAACATTGCATTTAAAAAAAATCCATTTAGGGCTGGACTGGCAGTGGTAGACTACTTGCCTGGCATACATAAGACCCTGGGTTTGATTCCTAGCACCTCAGGAAAAAAAAAAAAAGTATAAAAATGCCTTTAAAAAAACAAAAATACAATTTGGGTAAAAAGCTGGCATGTCAACTTACAATATTTAATTCCATAAATGGGAGTTGTTGCTTTTTGAATTGATGTTCTTCCTTTGCACCAGCTGGAAGCAGACTTCATGACCCTGCTCTGTCCTTTCCTCAGCATTTAGGGTTCCGCTGACAAAGGAAAGCATGTGCAATGGGATTTGTAAAGCCCCCGCACCCGTTACTTTAGTATCTAGGAGCAACAGGACTATGACCCACTAATTTGTCTTAAAACTACAATTTGCATTTTATGATTTTTCTTTTTTTTCTCATTGAGTTTATTGGTACATTTTAGGTATACAGTACAGTTACATTCATCATTGGGTGCATTTTATAATTTTCAAATCACAAAGAAAACTTTTTAAAAAGTTATATTTATATGATGCTCTCCTCGCTTTCCAATCCACTTATAATGTTAATTAACATTGTTTTTATTGTATCCCTCTTTTCCAAATCAAAGATTTCCCTTTTTTAAGAGTTCCCAAAACTAAAGCATTTTAAATAACTTTTGAGGATAAAAATATTCTCCCTGTCATTGCATATTTATTTTACTGTGTTTCTAGCACTGTAGATTTTGTTGTTTTGTGTTTTTTGTTTTTTTGGTACCAGGGATCAAACTCGGGTCCTTGTGCTTGTGAGGCAGACGGCGGAACCACTGAGCTAAATCCACAGCTCTGTTGTTTTGTGTTTTAACTTGGTCTGAAAAGAGTTGAGAAATCTTTTAATTTATCTACAACCTTACAATATTGGAAATGTATGCATGAGCATTACTACTCCAAACAGGCATCACTTTGCCCATTTTTACTCATGTCTGTTGTCAGAATTCTAGCACCAGCTAGAGTCTCTATCCCTGCCTTTCCATCTTATTCACCCTTGGCCCTTTTTCTAGTCTAACTCAAGTCTATAGATTTATTCATCTGTTTCTACCACAAGAATTTACTGAATCCCTATTCATGTTCAGAGTTCTAGAAGACGAGGGATGGATGTGCTGGTAAATAAGGGTGATCCCTCTTAGAATGACACATTAACTGTTTTATATTTAGTTGTGTATGATAGATTCTGTACTGGAGAAAGGTACAAAGTACAATAGTGATGACAGAATTTTAAAAGTCCATTCTGCTTTCAGGGTTGGCAGAGGACAGTGAGAAGATGAAGTATTGGAACCAGACTCACATAGAAAAGGAAGGAAGGGGAGCTGGAACAGAGTGACTAAGTTGCAGCCATTCTACATCCAGAAACATGCTGGTTGTCTTGATTTCCCACTTTCTCCAGACTTAGTGGTTTAACCAAAAGTATTAAGGTGTAATTCTTTCATCCACTGCAATACTACACTGCATTTTGAATAGATAATTTGAGTTCAGTTTCAGTTCAAAAAGAATAATGAGCTATCTAAGATAGAAAGCCATTAGGAAACTGTCTGGCTATATTTGGCATTTCACATCTTTTAGTAGACAAATCTGCTCTGGAGGTCATATACATCTCTCCTACCATAAATTTTTAAACACTGTTTTGATTGAGGTATTTTTATTTTGGAGAGTTTTCCCCCTTGGAATTTATTTAGTGTGGCTAAAGAGAAAGAATAAAGAGGCAGCTATCATCAAATTTCTGAAGAGATTCAAACTCTAGGAAGAAAATTACTTTAGAAGAAACCATCTTTATGTCCTTGAATTTCATGCTCAAGAGCACTTATCCTGGAAAATGACTTGACTGGTCAAAGGAATCATTATAGCAAGAAGGTGAGAACTATCATCAGGTTAAAACATTTCAAGTGAAGACTGGGATTTTAAAAGTGATAACTATCAAAAGTTGGTCTTTTTTAAAGAATTCCTCTAAAATGTTGGCCACCAGTCAATAAAGATCATTTTTTAAAATTTGTTTTTAATTTGATGATAGCTACTGTAAGTCTGCTTGTGGAGAAAATTCATATTTCTGGTGATATATGAAACAATAAAACAAGACTGTAAGAGCTTCACTCCACTAAGTGCTGCCCTTTCCTCACCCCTCACCAACTCCTTTGCTTATTCTTCCCCTGGACTGCATTTCAGTGACAGGAAGAATGATAATAGCTTTTCAAATCAGGAACATAAATGATTTATTTTGTCAGTATTCACTATCATAAAACTGAACTCATCTTGCTAATTATGAAAGTGCTACATGTACCAAAATGCCCCATTCTGGGAGAGCATAATGTCTTAGAACAAGAGACAGCAGTTTGAGCAATCATTAACACAGTCAGAATTGTTGATAATTTGGGAGAAAGAGGCATTATTTTTATTGGGACTTTGTAGTTTATTGGCTTTATCATCAGATGTAAAGTGTACGTCTCCTTGAAAATTTGAAAGGAAATAGTTTACTGTTCAGAAAAATGCAGAAAAGGTAAGACACATTGATGTCACATTGTACCCGCTAAGTAACTTTATTTCACTACTTAAGTCAATAATGTGACTTGAGCATTGGTTAAAAATCTATCGTCTTAAGACTATTTAAAAGATACCTTCATTTTAACAGAAAGCTATGTGACCATCTTGCTACTTGTTATTCTTAAATGAGGTGGGATCACAGGCTTTTCTTTGATACGACAAAGAAGGGACATGTTCTCCCAGTGAGTGTTCAGTTATCACAGTTTTAAAACACAGGCTGCCCCTTCCCCGGTTGTTAAGCACTCACTGATTGCACTCACTTCCACTGGTTGTTAAGCACTCCAGGTGTGGGTCATGGTCCAGGTAGTGAAATCCTTTATAAATGAAAGGACCTTCAGCTGGATACACTGGAAGACAGAGCCCATTTATTTCACGATATTAGCAAATGGTGCAAGAGGCTACCGGTAAAGTGTTGTATATGCACTTTTGCAGCACATACTTTAATGTTATCTTCATCTGTAGTGATAGAAGCATTCTTGGCATGCATAGTAAAAATAGTAAACTAGTAATACCAGGAATCTGGGTTGGGCTATTACACGAGGAGTCAAAAACAAGTGATTATGCGATTGTAAAACTAACTCCAGGATTTACTTGCTGGAAAGGAAACCTTTTAGGAAGCAGTAGTCTAAGCTGACTTAAAGAGGACTTGGAAGCCTGTGCAGCCTTAGTAAGCAAGGCCAGGATGGGCCTAGGCTGGGCAGGGGGATGGGGGTGGGGGTGGACGGCGTTGCTCAGTTGCGTTTGCGCGGTAACAGTTCAGTAACAGTTCAACGATCAACGGCTTCATTCTTTTGTGCCTCCATGATCTAGCCTGTGGGTTTCGTACCACTTTCCTCTACTCTGTTCCTCCATCCCTTGAGTGAGCAACAATGAGGGGAGCTGCAGGTATTCTGCGGGCCATCCAAACAGCAAGTGCAGTGGGGGCAAGTTTCTGGGGCCCAGGGATGGCTCTGCGGCCCTGTGAGGCAATGCATATCCCGCTCAGCGGCCCCTGGCCTTCCGCACCTGTGTCCAAGATGGCAACCGTGAAGCGTGAGCTTATGAAGAATTTCACCTCAGAAGAGCCCGTTTGTCACAGTAAAGTCTCCATTATAGGAGCTGGATCCGTGGGCATGGCCTGTGCTGTCTGCATCTTGCTGAAGGGCTTGATTGATGAACTTGCCCTTGTGGACGTTAGTGAAGACAAACTGAAGGGCGAGGTAATGGATCTTCAACATGGCAGCCTTTTCGTGAAAATGCCAAATATTGTTTGCAGCAAAGATTACCGTGTCACTGCCAACTCCAGTCTAGTGATTATTACAGCGGGGGCACGGCAGGAAAAAGGAGAATCACGCCTCAATTTAGTGCAGCGAAATGTAGCCATCTTTAAATTAATGATTGCCACTATCGTGCAGTACAGCCCCCACTGCAAGCTGATTGTTGTTTCCAATCCAGTGGATATCTTAACTTATGTATCCTGGAAATTGAGTGCATTTCCCAAAAACCGTGTTATAGGAAGTGGTTGTAATCTGGATACTGCTCGTTTCCGTTTCTTAATTGGGCAAAAACTTGGTATCCACTCGGAAAGCTGTCATGGCTGGGTCCTTGGAGAGCATGGAGACTCAAGTGTTCCCATATGGAGTGGAGTTAACGTTGCTGGTGTCCCTCTAAAGGATGTGAACACAGCAATAGGAACTGATGAAGATCCCGAGCAGTGGGAAAATGTTCACAAAGAAGTGATTGACAGTGCTTATGAAATTATTAAAAGGAAAGGTTATACTTCTTGGGCCATTGGCTTGTCTGTAGCTGATTTGACAGAAAGTATTTTGAAGAACCTAAGGAGAACACATCCAGTTTCCACCATAATTAAGGGCTTCTATGGAATAGATAAAGAAGTATTCCTCAGTGTTCCATGTATCCTGGGAGAAAATGGTATAACAGACCTTATAAAGATAAAGCTCACTCCTGAAGAGGAGGCCCAATTAAAAAAGAGTGCAGAAACACTTTGGGGAATTCAGAAGGAGCTTAAGTTTTAAAATCTGAAGCCATCATTCTGAAGTAATTGAAGATAAGATAGTAGATATGAGATTGTACTGTATATGCCAACATTTTGGAAATTTGAATTCCTGAAAGTTGAGAGAGTTCTGTAGTTATTTAAGCCCTCAATTTTTAAAATTTAGCATCCAGATGCTGATGGTACTTTTTACAATTCCTAAGTGACTAAGAAAATATCTGGTTCCTCTGATGTAGCTGTACTTGTGTTATAAGTATATGTAGGTGCCATCTGGTCTAAAAATAAGTAGGATGTTAGTGTGTTCTAATTTTCATTAAACAAGTGCTAATTCTAAGTTGTTACGCTTTTGTTCATTTATGTATCATTTAAAAAGTTATAACTTTACAATGTAGAAATAAATGTACACAAAGTTTTTTTGTCATGGATCTGTCTTGAGGCTGCCTTCATTTCCCTGTGTCAAGCTGTCAGCTGAGTCATTAAAAAGAGGTCACAAAATGGAGCTGCAGTTGCATGTAGGGTGTATACATACACATGATTTCAAAGCAAGATCATTCAGGTTAAGATATGAAAATAATAGTGAGCAGGTAATAGCTGTTATGGTTAATGCAATAAAGTAGAAAACATATTAGAAAGAAGCCTGACAGAGATGGTACAGTTACTGTCACTGATTTGGCAGGGAAAGGAAACATCCCTAAATTTTGCAGTTGCCAAAAATAAAGTCTGATTTAGTAAAAGCATTTTAGAACTGCCTCTGAGAACTGTTATGAGAGCTGTTCTGTTACATCAAGACATGTTATAAATTATCCTTACTGACCTAGCTCTAGCAGTACTGTGGGCCTTGGCAGGAACCTGCTTCAGGGCCATCTGTATTGCTCAGTTTACTTCATGGTGATAGAAAACTTTTGAATTGGGCCCTACTGTTAATCATCATATGAATTGGCCCATTTAAGGCATATTTGAGGGATTGTATTTTCAGAAAATTACAGTTTACTTTTACCCCTAAATTAATTGACTTCACTATAGATTCTGGAATTTGTAGATGTGATCAGTAAGTTTAGGAGAAAGTAAGATGTGTGTCTTAAATAATAGTACAGTATTAATGCAGAAAATGGGAGTGGATTATAAAATGCATGTTAGCTTTCCTAAAGCCATTGAATATTTAAATTAAAAAGCATGTTCTAACACATCTTTGGATCCTGCGCATATCAACAAGCTGAAAGCATCTGCTCTGTGAACCAAGCCACTGCTTCTTAGTTGAATGTTATCAGAGTTAGGACAGTAACCCTTCCATTAAAAGGGTCCCTTTACATGCTGATGAGAGCTCTTATACTTCAGTATTTTATTGAAGCTATCTAGGAATGTTCTGATTCTCCCAGGAACAGTGTCATATGATGGGACTAACTGGTATACTGAGTTCTCTGAACAAGGGGAAAAGGGGATTGTTTTAGTTACTTTTCTCTCATTGCTGAGACAAAAATAACTAACACCCAAAGTTAAAAGGGGAAAAGTTTATTTAGCTTAAAATTTATAGAGGTTTCAGTCCATAACTGGCTGGCTCCAAAGCATGATGGCTTGGCAGAGGGGCATCACAGAGGAGAACCAGTTCCTGGCAAGCAAAAGACAGCAGAGGCAAACAAGCAAGGGACAAGACAAGCCCCTTTGTGTCACTTACATTGTATCCAGGCCACCGGGATTGGGGCAGTGCCAAACCAATCAGTGGACTGATTAGTAATCACCTGGCCTTAATCCTACCATTGCACCATGAGTCAGTCACACACTCTAGATTCAGCCATTTCTGACAAAGCCTCACTTATGACTGCATGAGGCTTTGGGAGGACATCTAGACACAAGCCATAAGAGTGATGGTTCAGTTGTTCTAGGTGGTTGTGAAGTTTTTAGAGCTCAGTTGTGGAATTCCTATTCCTTCTTTTCCAGCCCTTGAGATTTTGACTTTGTTTCCACCAAATGGTACTACTAAAGGGCACGCTTATGTGTATTTTATAATTCTCCTCACCATCTTTATTAGCCAGGATAGACTGAGTTAGGCTGCAGTAAAAAAGTAATCTCCAGCCAGCATGAGTGGCCCACACCTTTGTAATGCCAGCACTTTGGGAGGCTGGAGCACATGGCTCATACTTGGGCATCTCAGCAAGAGCTTGTCTCAAAAATAAAAACTGGGCTGACAGGGCCAGGATTTAGCTCAGTGGTTCTGCCACCTTTCTTGCAAGTGCAAGGACCCGAGTTGGATCCCTGGTACAAAAAAAGAAAGAAAAAAAAAACAAAAAGCAAAAACTGAGCTGAGGATGTAGGACAGTGTAAAGACCCTGGTTTTAATCGCCAGGACTAGAGAGGATAAAACCCCTTCACATCTATACCTTAAACATATGCTCCTCTCTTGGGAAGGTGGCCTCCATGTGCCAGCTCAGCACCTCAGGTTACTTTGATTGTGAGTTACCGTGATAACCACGCAGCTTTCCAGGGTTGCAATGGAAAGGGAACAGAGGCCTAGAGAGTTACGTGCTCAGCCTGGAAGTGACACACATTTCTTTTACCCATATTCACTAGTCACAAGGTTATGTAACTTTAAGGAGGTAGGGAAGTACACTCCCCCCATCTCCAGAAGTATATGAATACTGGCTATTGGGGAACAATCGGTTTATATCTTATCATACAAATCAAAGTGGTCACCAATATAAGAGATATCTATTTTATGCGTCACTTTCAGTGAACCCTGGAACAGGGGTAAGTTTTAGAGGCATTTCATCTTTCCTGATTACAGAACCAGTGTGTAAGGGGGGAGGCTCTGCACATAGACAGTTGTACCCAGGAGCTACTGTGGATGAGTTAACCTGTCTGACCTCTGTTTTCTTTTCTTTTTTTTTTTTTCAGCTTTAATTGAGTTTATTGGTACATTTTAGGGATTCGGTACAGTTACATTCATTGTTGGGATCTTGTACCTCTACATGACAAATCTTAGTTCTCATTTTTTCCCCTTGTCCCTGCCCTCCCTTCACCTTCTCCTCCCCTCCCCATCTACAAACACTTTATTTCCATCTTTTCATTATCTCACATTTTTTTCTTTTCCCTTATTACCCTTCCCCTACCCATCCCACCTTCCCTACACCTTTAGCTCCTTTCTTCCCATTTCTAAATTTCAGTAATCTTATTAGGATCTTATGTATTGTTGCAGATTATTCACACCAGAGAAACTATTTGGTATTTACACATGTGTGCCTTATTTATTTCACTTAGGAGTATATCTTCAATATATATCCATTTTCCTATGAATGAATCTATTTTCTCATTCTTTATGGCTGAGTAATATTCCATTTTATAGAAAAACCACATCTTCTTTATCCAGTTTCCAACGGATGGGCAAATGGGCTGTTTCCAAGATTTAGCTATTACAAACGTGCCGCTATAAACATGGGTGCGCATACTTCTCTGTGATATGATTCTTTTAGTTCTTTTGGAAAGATACCCAGCAGAGGAATGGCTGGGTCAAATGGAACCTCCAGTCCAAGCTCTTTGAGGTATCTCCATATTGATTTCCATAGTGGTTGCACCAGTCTGGACTCCCAGCAACAATGGAGAAGGGTTCCTTTCTCCCCACAACCCCGCCAACATTTATTATTGGTTGATTTCTTGATAGCAGCCATTCTTTGTGGGGTGAGGTGGAATCTCAGTGTTGTTTTCATCTGCATCTCTCGAATGATCAGTGATGTAGAACATTTTTTCATATATTTACTTGCTGCTTTTACTTCTTTGTCTGAGAAATGTCTGTTCATTTCGGATGCCCATTTTTGAATCGGGTCTTTATATTTGGGGGGGCTGATTGTTTTGAGTTCTTTATATATTCTTGATAATAGTCCTTTGTCTGATGACCTCTGTTTTCTCATACATAAAAATGGTGGTCATAATTTCTGCCGTATGTGTGAAGACTTACAGCAGCACAATGTTTTTCAGTGCCTGATACATGAGATCCTAGATAGTTCCTGTTATTTTTCCTGTAAGGTACACTGTTATGACCTTACTGTATTTTTTTCTCCTGGAATTAGTATTGTATGGTCTTGTTTCATTTTATGGAATTGAATGCCAGATTCTTGAAAATTGCCACTGACTCTGTAATCAAAGGCTTTTCCACCCTCTAAAGTTTTGACCCTGTACAGTAGGATGCATCCTATAAAGTAAATCCTGTATATTTTTGTCCTCCTAACTCCAGCCTTGAGATTGGAAAAAAAAAAAAATCCCACTACAAGTGAGGATGTAGAAGCTAAATAATGAGCTAGTTAGTGGTATAAACATTTTGAAGCTCAGAGCTTTTAATTCCAATAACTGCCTATTAGAATTGATGCTGTAAAGATTTTCCAAAATTACTCAAGGACATGACCTAAGGTTTTAAGTAATTTTTCATTAATACCATGTATTAAGCCAAATGTCTTCAAGTTGTTTTCACCTACCGAGACATGCATGGCAGATGGGCAGTGGTACCACGTGAACGTGCAAGCAGCACAAGAGTAAGCCGGGCTGCACGGTCAGGACTGGTTTCACCAGCTGTGACACCGAACACTGTATTTTTCTGCAAGCCTCCATCAGCATATCTTTAAAAGGAGGTTAACATCTGCCCCATTTGTTGTTGAGGTTCAAGCCAGGCACCTAGTAAAGACTCTATAAACAGTATCTACCTGGCACGTGGGCTATATGGCTCTTTGGGAAGCTACTGAAGTATGTACATGAGTAACATTATTAAAGGCACAATCTTGAATCTGTTCTGATATCTAAACAATCCTAAACTTCTCTGAATATTCATATTTATGACAATTTACTCTTCCCAGTTAATCATTACTCCCCATTTGAACAGTGCTGTGTTAAGTACTTTCTGGTAATATTACACGGTGTCCAATCAGGACTTACGATGGGGTTCCCAGCGCAGCATGCTCTTTGCTGTAGGGAGGTACCATTCATGTCTTAGTCTCTGTGCAGAACGCTCTTGGAATTGTGCTGAGCACAGTTTGTGACAGTACAAAGTAGCCCTGATTATAAAGGTGACTCTGAGATCTATAGCATGGAAAAATTCTCTCTGGCTGGAGGAAAAGAAACAGAGACAACTAGGGAAGAGTTTGTGGGTTTTGTAAAGTGTTCAGAGTAACACTGAGCTGCTGCTGATGGAAAAAAACGAAGTTTTCATTTATTATACAAGTAACATAAATAGTAAAATCTTTAAAACTTCCTATGGAATCTCATTATTTAAAGCAACTTTTTTTTGGTCTAGTATTTTCTTTTCGTTTTTGGTACTGGGAATTGAACTCAGGGCCTCACGCTTCCCAGGCAGGTGCTATGCCACAGAAGAGATGTCTGTTTTTCAACTATGAGAGTCTATGCAGTTTCTCACTGGGTTCATAATTGGTATTTTGGACAAAGCAGTACTTTTTGTTGCCCATTCTGGATGATGGACACCTGTGCCTCCTCACTCCTGCCAGATACAAACAGCAGTCCGCTGTGGTTGTGACAACCAGAGACATTCCTCTATGGTTCCAATCCCTCCTCCCCAGGGATATGATGCTGCTTTTAGTAAAGAGCCCCACAGAGAGTGTGAAGGAGTAGGGACACACGCATAATGTTTGTGTCCAAGATTGGCATCTGGGTTCAAAATGTGGAGATAGGTAGCGTGGACCTCATATTGACCACATGTGATGGGTAGCCTTATAAATCCCAGAATCAAATAATTGGACCAAAATGATAATAGAACTGTAATTTAAAGCTTTAACAAACACACCATAATAGTTATATCCATGTAAGTTTTATTCTTAGACAATAACATATTTTGATAATGTTTTAGTGCTCATTGGTCATATATACTGAGCACTTATCATGTGTGAAGGGCTGTGTGTTTTCTCACTTAATCCTACCCTCTAGGCAGGTAGTCACTGTCTTTATTCTGCATATGTAAAAACCACAGCTCCAGAGTGAGCAGTTTTCCCAAGTGGTGGAGCTGGGTCTGTCTGATACCAGAACCTGTGCTGCCCACAGCTGTGGTGCCAGGATTGGGTAAATGCTAAGATTTATAAGTCTTGAACAAAATGCAACCCCTCAGTTTGAAAACAAGGTAGATATTTAGCCTCACCTTGAAATAAATATTAACATAAAACACTAGTCAGTTCTTACATGACCACTCTAAGAAATGGCTTGGACATTGCTGAGGAGTCCAGGTTGCTTTGCAAACCCAGTCAAGTAAGTAGATCTGTGTTCTTTGGGAAATATGACTGGGCTGTGACTGATGAGGAAAAGTTATAACATTATAGTGCTGTTGAAATAGTATCTTAATAACAGCACCATTTTGATGAAAAAAGATAGATTAGAGTGGTGGTGATGAACCTATGGCATGCATGCTGCAGAGGGCTATCTGTATCACTGAAAGCTGTAAAAGGCTCACCATCACTGGATTAGAGTGTCTAAGTAAGACTGGCTAAGGTAAAGTTTATCCCACGACTGTAAGTCAGTCTTCCCTTCCCCTCTCAGTATACACCTTAGATGGACTGGGTGCCCCGGGTGACCTGTGTCACTATGTTGGCACTGCTTCTGCTGGTAAGGCTTCTGCATAGGTTTCCACACTGCATGGCGCATGAAACATACCGAGTTATCTGCCATCCGTTGATTTATTCTTTATTAAACCCCTCATAAGTGTCTTCTCTCTACCCTTTCCCTCTGGCTCTAAAATTCTAACTTTGAATTGACCTGAGTATATTCATTTATTCAGGTGGATAGAAATCCCATCCTCCCCTGCATCTTTGTATATGAAAGCCAGTGATACATACCATTCTTCTGATAGCAAAGCCATATTCTGGAGGACTGATGATTCAGGGCATATTGCCTTCTAGACTAAGAGTGAAGTTTTGTTATTTAGTTAATGGATTCATACTTGGAAGAAGAAAAGAGGTACATTCTTTGTTCTGTCACATAGCTAGTATAGAGACCACAGCTTTTATTAGTATTCCTTTCCTCTGTGCCTATGAGCAGCAAAGTCAACAAAGGTGTTGCCTCTGATAGCTTTGCCTATTTTTCTCTTTTTTGACATTTGATGACTGATTTGTTTTTCTTCTTCTAGATGAAAGACTTTCGAAGTAAAATGCAATCGATATTTCCAACAATTCCCAAGAACTCCAAATCAGCTGTTGAGTGGGAGGAAGCATTGAAATCTAAATGAGATGAGCACAGATGAATTCCAAAGTGATCCCTGCAGAAAGGGTGCAGCACAACTGAAAAGGGACTGGGAGTGCTTTCCCCCTAGGCCCCATGCAGATTGTTGATGGTGCTGAGCCTCCCCCTGAGCAGGCGTCTTCCTCTGTGGCTGTGGCTGTGTTGGGGAGGGGCAGTTTTCCTACAGTTGAGTATTTAACAATAATTATTGGGATAACTTTCACAGGTGGAGAGGTCTCAGAAGAAAATACTTCTGTGTATAACAATAAACCAGTTTCACACCTGAAAACAAAGTGTATAGTAAAAGTCTGATAGAAAATCTTTATAAGTAGACTCTTAACAGCAGTAATAACTCAGTGTATCTAATTAAATAAGTTTTAAGAGCCTTTCTTCTGGATATACAACTGAGAATTTGGTAGACCTGTTCCTATTAGCCAGACTCCAAAGAGCCAGGTTCAGTGGCAAATCCCGTGCAGCAGGGAATGGGCATGGCTTGTGGTCCTGAACTCAGTCTGATTCACAGCAGGCACACAACACAAGTGCCAGTTACTTACCTGGTGACCTCACTTGATGGACCTATAAATTCTTACACTTAGGACAGAAAGCCAGTAACAGATTATAACTTGAAGAGGTACAGTTAGGTTGAAATAATCAGGATGATAATCATGGGTATAAAAAAATACTTTTTTGAGAAATTGGTTCTGAATCCCAGAACACTGACTATTTGTAGTTTTGTTTCAGTTGATAAAGTATCTTAAATATTTTAAACCAGAAAGTCACCTGAGTACTAAGTCTCAGTGTTGTCACCTCCTCTTTAATTAATTCTTATGTACCCAAACCCCTCATGTACTTCATGATCTCTTCCAGAAAACAGATGGAAAACAATGTCTACATGCAACTTTGTGTTTTTACTTTAAAATTTTTAAAGAAGAGAGATACTTTTAATATGTCAGTATGTTCTGAGAAATAACCTCTGGTGGAAAATCAGTTGTGCAATTTCTTTAGAATTGCTTAATCTCTACTTAGTCAGCAATCAGGTTTAATAAAGTTGAAATTTCTGTTATAATGAAACCTTTTAGTTGTAAGGGAAAATTTTAAATGAAATGTCAAATGTGTAAGGTAACATTTTTCTATAGACCACATTACCCTGTTAAAATTGCCATATTTTTAATTAAACATGTGTAATTGGTGTTTAGGATTCACATGTAACCTGTTAAAAATCTAAGGCCAAAGGAAAGGATTGTGAAATTTATCAGCCTATGTGGATAGTAAAAAACTCTTCACCCATCTTCCATTGTTAACTAAATCTCTGTGAAGAAAGTATTTCTGGCCGGTGAGTGCAGTGAAGGAAAGACAGGCTTTCCTTCAGAAAATGGGCACGACCTGTAACTATGTCTGCTAGGGTCTTGATTTTCATTTTCCTTAGATGGAGAAGGCCTTTTTATTTTTTCAAAGACCTCTCCTGGGTAGGAAAAAACACAAATTCTCAGCTTGCTAGAGTGATAAAAGGAGAAATTATTATTAGCTGTGGTTCTGTTTGAGTCCTACCTTGTAAGCTCCTTGAGGGTAGGGACTTCCTCCCAGGCTATGTGAACCTGCACCTACTGCAGAGATTGAGCATACGGGGAGGGTGGCAGCCAGGTCTCGGGAAGGAGCCAGTGCCATCGTAGGCAGGCTGTGCTCCCAGGGGCTGGCACAAGGAGGCCTGAATGCATGTGCACTGCAGGATTGAGTGAAAACTTGCTTGTGTGCTGTGCCTAATGCTAACAAAACCCTGCCCTTAGACTTGACTTCTGTTGTCCTTGACAGATGGCAGGGGTCCAACTCCCCTAGGACTGATGGTGAGTCACCTGTGGAGGGAAGGTTGATGGGGACAGTTTCCTCGAATAGGTACAAAGCGTAGGCTCCAATTGCATTTTAAAAGCAAAAATGAAGTAACAAAGATGAAAATTCAAAGAGAAAAGAAAGAAGAGAAAAACAGTATAAGTACAGTGGTGTTTTTCCACTGTCAGGACTCAGATATCAGAAGATTTAGTCATTTGTCTATGCCTTTTATACCAGAGGCATAATGTTAAATTGGTTAATGGAAAGGAAAAATGTTTAACAGATAATGTTATTCTTTATGTGAAGTACCATCTGTGTATTGAGTTCTGAATGTTCCTGGATATGGAAGAGAAGAAGTGTTATGGAATTTCAAGTTTGCCTTCTTTGCTGTCTTTATCTTGGGTAGAGTATGACAAACATAATCACATTTATCTCCTGGAGCATAAAGAGTTTTAATCACCCTATTAACCAGGATGACATTTTTCACAGACTTAAAAAGGAATAGAACAGACATTATATCCCCATAAGCAATCCATTTCATGGAGGCTGAGCACTAGAAATGCTTTAAAGGAGGGATAACACTGCCATTTCCATTTCCTGTGTAAGCCAACATTAAGGAGGCTTTTGCTAAGGATGTGGCTTTGATTAGGTGAGTATTAAGCTTTACATGTAGAATCTCAGTGTCCAAAAAAGCTGTTAAGAAAGCCACGTGAAGAAAGCACGGTAGGCAGAGAGGAGCGACTTCTAAGACCTCGGGATTCTTTTAAGACAGAGTATCCTGGTAAGTTATTGTTGCCCTGTAACATATCCACCAGCAGCTAGGTGGTTGTTTTTATTTTTTCCCAGTCCAAAAAAAAAAAAAAAAA